GCCTCTTTTTGAAAAAAAATACAAGGCTAACTCCTTACCGTTTTAAATTTTGGATAAAAATGTGTTTTTGCCCCTTTTTGATTAAAATACAAGGCTAACCCCTGACCGTTTAAATTTTGGATAAAAATGTGTTTTTGCCCCTTTTGGATAAAAATGCAAGGCTAACCCCTTACCGTTGTAAATTTTGGATAAAAATGTGTTTTTGCCCCTTTTTGATAAAAATGCAAGGCTAACCCCTTTCCGTTTTAAATTTTGGATAATAATGTGTTTTTGCCCCTTTTTAATAAAAATGCAAGGTTAACCCCTTATCGTTTTAAATTTTGGATAATAATGTGTTTTTGCCCCTTTTTGATAAAAATTCAAGGCTAACCCCTTACTGTTGTAAATTATGGATAAAAATGTGTTTTTGCCCCTTTTTGATAAAAATTCAAGGCTAACCCCTTACTGTTGTAAATTTTGGATAAAAGGTGTTTTTGCCTCTTGTTGATTAAAATGCAAGGCTAACCCCTTATCGTTTTAAATTTTGGATAAAAACGTGTTTTTGCCCCTTTTTCATAAAAATGCAAGGTTAACCCCTTACCGTTTTAAATTTTGGATAAAAATGTGTTTTTGCCTCTTTTTGATTAAAATACAAGGCTAACCCCTGACCGTTTAAATTTTGGATAAAAATGTGTTTTTGCCCCTTTTGGATAAAAATGCAAGGCTAACCCCTTACCGTTGTAAATTTTGGATAAAAATGTGTTTTTGCTCCTTTTTGATAAAAATGCAAGGCTAACCCCTTACCGTTTAAAATTTTGGATAATAATGTGTTTTCGCCCCTTTTTAATAAAAATGCAAGGTTAACTATCGTTTTAAATTTTGGATAAAAACGTGTTTTTGCCTCTTTTGGATAAAAATGCAAGGCTAACCCCTTACCATTGTAAATTTTTGTTAAAAATGTGTTTTTGCCTCTTTTTGATAAAAATGCAAGGCTTACCCATTACCGTTGTAAATTTTGGATAAAAATGTGTTTTTACCTTTTGCTTTGGTGCTTAAAATTCAAGAACTTGTCAGAGTAATGATGTGATTATTGAAGAAATAAAGAGAAACAAAATGGAAATAAAAGCTTTTATACCTTGTGTGTTCACTTTATTTAGCATTTGTCCAATAGCAATTGTTTAATAGCTTAAAATAAGGAAAAAGAATGATTTAATGAATATTCATCAAGAAATCAATGAATATTCATAAGGCGAAATATATAATGAGCATGAACAAATGATGATATAGCTGAAAAGTGGTTTCACCACTGAATATTCATCAGGAAATCAATGAATATTCATAAGGCGAAATATATAATGAGCATGAACAAATGATGATATAGCTGAAAAGTGGTTTCACCACTGAATATTCATCAGGAAATCAATGAATATTCATAAGGCGAAATATATAATGAGTATGAACAAATGATGGTATAGCTGAAAAGTGGTTTCACCACTGAATATTCATAAGGCGAAATATATAATGAGTATGAACAAATGATGGTATAGCTGAAAAGTGGTTTCACCACTGAATATTCATAAGGCGAAATATATAATGAGTATGAACAAATGATGGTATAGCTGAATATTCATAAGGCGAAATATATAATGAGTATGAACAAATGATGGTATAGCTGAAAAGTGGTTTCACCACTGAATATTCATAAGGCGAAATATATAATGAGTATGAACAAATGATGGTATAGCTGAATATTCATAAGGCGAAATATATAATGAGTATGAACAAATGATGGTATAGCTGAAAAGTGGTTTCACCACTGAATATTCATAAGGCGAAATATATAATGAGTATGAACAAATGATGGTATAGCTGAATATTCATAAGGCGAAATATATAATGAGTATGAACAAATGATGGTATAGCTGAAAAGTGGTTTCACCACTGAATATTCATAAGGCGAAATATATAATGAGTATGAACAAATGATGGTATAGCTGAATATTCATAAGGCGAAATATATAATGAGTATGAACAAATGATGGTATAGCTGAAAAGTGGTTTCACCACTGAATATTCATAAGGCGAAATATATAATGAGTATGAACAAATGATGGTAGAGCTGAAAAGTGGTTTCACCACTGAATATTCATAAGGCGAAATATATAATGAGTATGAACAAATGATGGTATAGCTGAAAAGTGGTTTCACCACTGAATATTCATCAGGAAATCAATGAATATTCATAAGGCGAAATATATAATGAGTATGAAAAAAATGATGATATAGTTGAAAAGTGGTTTCGGACCCAAAATTCGGACGACCCAAAATTCGGACGACCCAAAATTCGGACGGACGACCCAAAATTCGGACCCAAAATTCGGACCCAAAATTCGGACAACTTGATGCATGCATCAGGACCTGAACCCACAACGCCTGGGTTTCCAGTCACAACTACTAACCAGTGCACTACTTGGGTCCCCCCAGTACATGTCCCTATTTTATAAACTTAGCTCTTAGGTTCCCTAAATAAATTTTTTTGAAAAAAAAAAATCTACCATCCAGATTGCTCTTTCTTTTTTTTTGACACAAAAAAAAAGGCAAACAATTGTGTTTTTTTGGAGCTCTAAATCAAATTGTTTGATCCAATCATAATTATTCTAATAGTGCATTGGAACTTAACAGATCATGTTTTTCAGCTGGCTACAGTTCAATTCCACACATCTCGAGAGAAGACACATTAACAAAAACAAGTTACACTTGAAGAGTTTTATTTTTAAAATGCGATATTTAAATCCAGGGAGAAAGGGAGAAAATTTGCATGGTTATGAAACTTGTAAAAACAAACTTCTAAACTTCATTTTTGGCTTTACTCTCTTCTTTAAATTGTGTTTAGCTACCGTACATAACACCCACCGAAACTGACCTGGAGCAGCCAGGAGGATTTTAGCTGGCATTTATCCCTTTTTGGAAATCTCTTCAATTGTTATTGAAATTACTGATGACTGATTTGATTTATTGAAATAATTATGACCGACAGAACAATTCATACACAAGAGAAAAGTAAATAATAACAGGAATAATTTGTACAGAAAACCACTGCCTTGCGATGCCATGGATAGTTAGAAAGGCAGTTTCAATAATGTTACATAGTACAGACTTCATACATTGTTAATATGTACTCTGAAATTATTCTACAGTACTATTTACAGCTTTTATACAAATGTGCATAAACACAGCATTGGTAGTTAATTTTAACGGATAATTTCAATAAAATCATTTGAAATACTTCCATGTGTAGCTATGGTTGGTCATTTTTTGGTCCATAAAATATTAATCCTTCAAAAAGTGTAAGATTTAAACTGAAAACTGTCCCATTCATTATTGCTAATTTCCTGTTAACGTTTAAAGGCACATTTTGCTTGTTTCGCTCAACCAAAACAATATAATGTACATTATTGTTGATTCCTCTGACAAATGCACTTAGTTTCTAACATTAGGTGTTTTTCAACTAACCTCAAAACTTAAACGTCATTTTTTCATAAAAAAATCAAACATAATTTCAGTGTTATCCCAATTATAGTTTTCTTCTCTACACATTTCCCTTCGCATCTGGGAAATAAATTTACCTCTTTTTTTTCGTTCAAACCATGAAACCACAGATACTTTATAGTTACTTATAAAACTAGAGACTTATGAAATAAATAATTTTTGAATCTGTTGAAGTCTGTGGTGTTGCATAACCATCAGAATGCACATCTATCAGCCTCATTTCAACAATATGGATGACTGTATGTTACACAATGAGTGCGTTTGATTATTTTCCCCAGCTTACTCGCGCTTGGCTCGCGTGATGACAGACATGCGCAGTGGAGCTAAATAAACGAACGGTTCCGGGTTAAGTTTTGTGCAAGGAGTTGGAAAGTTGAACTTTGACATGACACTGAGGCTGCATCCGAATCAAGTGTCTAGAGCTAGGTCTAGCTCTGCGCCCACTGAAAATAGCAGCGGGGACGCACTGACAATAGACATAGCCGTGGCTCTGGAAGCCTGTTTCAGACACGGCCTGAGGCGCCCGCCGAACGTCACGTTGGCAGCCGTGTTCATTGTATGGCCTTATGGGATACTTACCCAAGTAACTGGCTCGGTGAGTCGGTTACTTGGGCCAAGCTTGAGTAAGCACGAGAAGTCACGTGAGAGGTCAATCGAATGCTGTCGTGCTTGCACGAGTAAGCGTGGGGGAAGTAATCGAACGCACTAAAATTAAGCAAAGCTTACCTGAATAACCCTTAAGCACTGAAGAAAGATCTTTTGCTGTTAATCCCTCAACCGTTTTAAAGTACAGTATGATTTTCTCTTCAAATATGAAAAGTCTTACTTTGCAGTACTTCGAGTCTATTCCATCCCTGTGAAGCACCAGCAAGGGAGTGATGTGCACTTGGTGCGGTCCTTCTCCTGGGCCGCATAGTGCCTCTCAAGGGAGCTCTGTTCTGAGTCTCTTCCATCCCTGTGATGAAGCACCAGCAAGGTAGTGATGTATATGTACTTGATGCGGTCCTCCTCCTGAGCCCTACAGTGCTTCTCAAGAGAGCTCTGGTCTGAGTCTGTTCTAGCCGTGAGAAGCACCAGCAAGGTAGTGTATATGTACTTGATGCGGTCCTCCTCCTGAGCCGTACAGTGCTTCTCAAGAGAGCTCTGGTCTGAGTCTGTTCTAGCCGTGAGAAGCAGTCCTTCTCCTGGGCCGTATAGTGCTTCTCAAGGGAGCTCTGGTCTGAGTCTGTTCCATCCCTGTGAAGCACCAGCAAGGTAGTGATGTGCACTTGGTGCAGTCCTTCTCCTGGGCCGCATAGTGCCTCTCAAGGGAGCTCTGTTCTGAGTCTCTTCCATCCCTGCGAAGCACCAGCAAGGTAGTGATGTGTACTTGGTGCGGTCCTTCTCCTGGGCCGCATAGTGCTCCTCAATGGAGCTCTGTTCTGAGTCTCTTCCATCCCTGTGATGAAGCACCAGCAAGGTAGTGATGTGTATGTACTTGATGCGGTCCTCCTCCTGAGCCCTACAGTGCTTCTCAAGAGAGCTCTGGTCTGAGTCTGTTCTAGCCGTGAGAAGCAGTCCTTCTCCTGGGCCTTATAGTGCTTCTATAGTGCTTCTCAAGAGAGCTCTCTGATGTGAAGTGAGCTGGTAGATCTGCCATCACCTGGTCAAGAAATTTGAATACTGTCAATTTGGGAAAAAATGTTTGATACTGATTGAGAGATTTACTTGTATTCATTATTAGCTATCCTGCAAATTCGAGTGGAACAAGGTTAAAAAAAAATAGGTTAACCAGTTTGCATCGGATAAAGTGTATACAAACAAAGATTTTGCGGTATTCGTAGCGGATGCCAGATGAACAAGAATGATAGCTGAGTCCTATAAATACAGATGTCAAATTGGTTCAGAGAACTCTTAGAGTTTTTAAGAATAAATTATTGTTTCACTGAAGAAGAAGTGTCTTTGCTCCCTTATTAGTCCCATCCTTGTAGATAGGATAGGATGCCTGGTTATATATCTTTGATACAAACGAATCCGGGAAATATAAATTTATAGTGACTTGGCATCATTACATCTTGCAAGGTGACAAAAGAAAGTCCTGAATAGCGCCCTCTACGCCACCTCACCCGGCCGCAGCATTACATGACAAAAACAATGAAAAAAGCCCATTGGTTTTACTTTAAACATGCCTTAGACCTTACTCCATATTTTTTATACAATTTCCTTAAAAAAAGTTAAAACATAAGTAGTAACTATCAAAGGTTATTAATATCACTCAATCTGAAAATAAAAAGAAAACAAAAATCCCCCACTTACATTATTGTCGATTCAGCCATAAAAAATCGTTGCGCGTCAATTTTGATCTGTTAAGTCAATTTCTTTTTTTTCTTTAAAATTTTCTGTAGCTACAACAGTGCCCTTTAGTGCTGCACCGCCTCAAATATTTAGCACTAAGGAGCACAAGGGCACCAAGGCAAATGATAGGGCACCAAGTCAAATGATGTAACACCATATGAGAACTCAAACAAACAAAGCAGTACCACTTTGCTATTTTTTCCCAAGCTTGGATGGTACAGACAAAGAATATTTTTTAAACGCATCACTAGTTTGAATACAATTTAATACCAAATTAGTGACTCTCAACAGTATAGTTATGAACTCACAGTCTGTTTGTTTGATGACGGAATTTTTGTTACAACTTCCACATGGTAGTAGATTAAAAGGCGACTACAAAATACTTCAGTCTGTGTAAAAAAAAAAAATAGGCGACTTGATCAAAGTTACTTATTGTACAAGTGCGATTAGGCCTAAACCTTTTTTTTCCTGAATCTTTTTCTTAAAGTTGCTAAATGAAAGCTGTAATCGCGAACAACAAATCTGTTGGTAAACACACAATTGGGTGTTAATTTGAATTTGTTGTTAGGTTTTTCAAATAGACCTACAAACGCTGTGGTATAATAGCTGATTATGCTTTTTACCTCTTTACAAAAAATTGCTGATCCAAATGCGTTGCAGATAATGTTGGGATAATATTCTGGTTGTTAACAAGTTTTGTTTGGGTGGCTTGATTTGGTCGATCTTGTAGCTTGGATCATGTCCCTCGAGCCAGTACGTCAGGCTTTCACCTTTGCCCTGAAATAAAAGAAAGGAAAAAGATAAGAGATTGATTGAAACAGTTATCTCATGTTTCCTTTGAAATATGATGGACTTGAGAATTTGCAGCAGTGAAAATTGAAGGAAGGGTAGATCATTTGTCATTTGTGATTTTTTTCCCATTTGAAGCAACAAACGTGCTCAAAATCTAAAGATAAGTGCTTAACAACTACCCCAAATGAAGTTAAAGATATGTGAATGCTGTGTTTTCAGAGGAAACAGTATTCTAGGATCTCAAATTCTATTCAAAAGTTGCCGAGACACGTTTGTTCTCATTCAGCTGATTGAAGCTTTGCAATGTTGCACACTAAACCGCTGAATGAGTCATGTCAACGCGTGTGCACACCCATTCACAGATTAGTCCGATCACAAACCAACTACTAACGAAAACTTCCAAAAAATGTGTCATTTGACACACTTCTTAGAAATGGCCTTCTTTTATTGTGTTCTTCACAATGACAGCATGTAATGCCAGAGTGAATAATTTCACAGGCAGTCCGACTAGCTGAACTAGACTTGTTCTTGTGACTAGACTTGTGATGTTCTTGTGACTAGACTTGTGATGTACTTGTGACTGGACTTATGATGTACTTGTTACTGGACTTATGATGTACTTGTGACTGGACTTGTGATGTACTTTTGCCTGGACTTGTTATGTACTTGTGATGTACTTGTGAATGAACTTGTGACTGGACTTGTGATGTACGTGTGACTAGACTTGTAATGTACTTGTGACTGAAATTGTAATGTGCTTGTGACTAGACTAATGATGTACTTGTGACTAGACTTGTGATGTACTTGTGACTGAACTTGTGACTGGACTTGTAATGTACTTGTTACTGGAACTGTAATGTACTTGTGACTAGACTTATGATGCACTTGTGACTGGACTTGTGACTGGACTTGTGACTGGACTTGTGATTTACTTGTGACTGGACGTGTGATGTACTTGTGACTAGATTTGTGATTTACTTGTGACTGGACTTGTGATGTACTTGTGACTGGACTTGTGATGTACTTGTGACTGGACTTGTGATGTACTTGTGACTGGACTTGTGATGTAGTTGTGATTTATCAATCTTAAGTATCTCGGCCACAAGCAAAGACAATGATCTTACCTGAGTGAATACCGATGAGGAGTTTGAGTTTCTCATCTTGTTTGTGTGGCATGATCAACTATTAACGCCCTGCAGGAGATGCCATGCAGCGGAGGCGATCATACCAGCATGACGGCTGCCATTACGGATCAGTAGGCAGGAGACCAACATGTAGGCATCGTCGATACTTTCAACCTTGGCAAGATGTTATTATTCAACACTGGTTAATTTTGCTTTCAGACATTATCATAGAACATACATATTTGCGTGGTTTTTGCCTGAACTAGTAACCATGGTAGCATCAACTTAACCTCTGAGTGATTGTCATGACTACGCCTGCGAACAGCCGAGTAATGTTGACAATGATAATGCAAGTGACTTTTTGTAATTATATTATATTAATTATGTGTTTTTCAGTGGCCGAGAGTGTGCATCACATAGTATTTGCTATTTTCCGTCTACATGTACATGGCTAAAAGGACTATGGCACCTTCCATTTTAATACTGACTACTTTGAGTGGCATAATCAAACTACCGGTAGCCTCCTAGACCTGTTTTATAATGCCACTTGAAGCAGTCAATATGCAAGACTACAAATTATAAGCATAGCTTGTAAAGTACTCTGATAGTAAAACAGATCTAAGATGGTAGAATCAAGCCAAGCAGTAACGGGTAAGGTGCTTTCTGTCAATGTATTGTTGATCATTTCATGTTTGCATATTAACCATAATAAATGAACTTGGATAAGTGTATTAAGTATAATCTACTGCAAGTACCCTTTAAAATAACTTCCTGTGATATGGCACGTTTGGCTTAACCAGTTCACATCAGACAACGTGTATGTATACACGCAAGGTTTTGCGGTAATCGGAATGGATGATGGATAAACACGCAACAAGCGAGGCCTGAAATGTCTGTCAGTGGCCCGCTTGCAGCGAGCTACCCGTAGATGACAGCCTGAAGCCGTCTGGCATCCAGATTCATGAAAACAATCACAAGTCTTGGTCTGGTCAATGTCAAAATAGTCCAGCGCGAACTGGTTAAAACAATCTGCTGGGTCATATGGAATATTTACCTTTTAGACGTCATAGTTGGAAATGATGGCGTCGAACAGCGTGTTCAAGGCATTCAACAAGTTAACAACCTGGAAAGTTAAGAGCAAGATGTAAAGGGTAATCCTGGTGACACTAATGGTTTGCAATAATCTGAGTAGACAATTTGATCAAATTTGAGTGCATTTTTGATAATAGTATACGTTTTTAACTTAAACCGCCTTTGAGAATATAATTGAAAAGTATTAAGCCCTAGCTGCATGTTTATCTAGGCTGATTATAAAGATTATGTGCACCAACAGTAGATTGTCCCTTTTTGACAACTTTTGAGAGCCCTACATTGTGTAGTTGGAGAGACACATTGCGTGTACCGTACTAGTGCCCGCGCATATGGCGCGAAATACACAAGATTAATTTTATTCTGGATTTGCACAAATCCAGAGCTTCTTCGCGTGAGCATCTGGGTCCTAGCTCTATGGTACAATGCATTCAAATGTAAAAATAATATGGGGCGAAATACACAAGATTAATTTTATTCTGGATTTGCACAAATCCAGAGCTTCTTCGCGTGAGCATCAGGTACAATGCATTCAAATGTAAAAATAACTAGTGATTTGCGTTTGTTGAGTTACAAACGCAGGGTGATCGGGTGACATTTTCATATGAACGTGCCCAGTGTACTTGTGAATATCGTAACAGAAAGAGGATCACAAAATTTCACCCTCTGAGAAGTATGATTTGTTTTATTTTTGTAGAAAAAAATCTTTTGGAGTCTGATAAATTTGAGTTTAGAAATTGTAATATGTAGAAATACATGGAATTTCCGGTTTCATAAATTATAAATTAAAATACGCAAACTGAATACTGATTTAGTTAAGAGAAAATACATGTTCATCTATAAGTAAAAAGAATTTGTGAAAATAAAGGAATTGTAATGAATGTTGAAGTGTTTGTATTATTAAACTATTTTTGTGACGTCACATTATTGTTAAAGTGTAATCTACACTTTACTCGGTACATTTTTTACAAATCGACATCAACAATTAATCCCATGAACCGTTTGGAAGAAATTTGGTTCGCTTTTATTTTGATCAGGGTCGATATAATTATGTGCAAAGTTAAAAGTTAATGAAGTACATAAAGTACAAACATAGTGGACACGGATTAAATGACGAATTTAAATTTAAAGAAAAGAAAATTGATCGTTTTTTCACTTCTCTGTACAATAACTTCCAGTCGAATGTTGTCACGATTCTGAAACCTTCCAAATTTCTTCAAAGGTTGTAAACAGAATTAATATCTAGAGGCAATTTTGTAAAATTGTAACGAATGGTTTTTAAATTCAAACATTCCATCTATAGATCTTTTGACGTACCGCTAGAGGTCGCCCTTTCATGTAATTACGTCAACACGCCAATGTTTGTGTTGGACATTCCTCACTAAATATTTGCGTAATTTGATTTTGAGGCTATTCTGTCTGTAATTTAAATTCACCCAACTTTGACCTTCCAGTAGCCCGGAGGTAAAGGCCAAGCGAGTTTACGTACATTTAGGAGAAAACCCACGGAGAATTATTGTCCAGAAAAAAATCCAAAAGAATCATTCTTACCATTTTAAAAAGGTGATCGGGTCGTACCCGATCAAAAAGTCCGCAAAAAGTTTTGTGTGATGAATTCCTGCTTTTGACAGATTTTTCACTTTTTTCTGTTTTAGTTTTATTGTGCTCAGCATAAAAATCGGGCAAGAAAGATATTTTGCTGTTAATCCCTCGACCGTTTTAAAGTAAAGTTTGAGCATTTTCTCTTCAAATATGAACAAGTCTTACTTTGCAGTACTTTGAGTCTGTTCCATCCCTGTGAAGCACCAGCAAGGGAGTGATGTGCTTGGTGCAGTCCTTCTCCTGGGCCGCATAGGGCTTCTCAAGGGAGCTCTGTTCTGGGTCTCTTCCATCCCTGTGATGAAGCACCAGCAAGGTAGTGATGTGTACTTGATGCAGTCCTTCTCCTGGGCCGTACAGTGCTTTTCAAGAGAGCTCTGGTCTGAGTCTGTTCCATCCCTGTGAAGCACCAGCAAGGTAGTGATGTGTGGTCCTTCTCCTGGGCCGTACAGTGCTTTTCAAGAGAGCTCTGGTCAGAGTCTGTTCTAGCCATGAGAAGCAGTCCTTCTCCTGGGCCTTATAGTGCCTCTATAGTGCTTCTCAAGAGAGCTCTCTGATGTGAAGTGAGCTAGTAGAACTGCCATCACCTGGTCAAGAAATTTCAATATTATCAATTTGGGAAAAAATGTTTGATATTGCTGTCTGATGCCAGACGACAGCTGAGTTACATTAGAAATTCTGCATTGTCATTGGTCAATTCACAACGGGTAATGCATAATGCATGTCTACCAAATCGGTAGACAAAATGTAAGGAAAAACATAAGCATTCTCCACGAGATGGTAAAGGCCCTCGCGGCTTTGCCACTCGTGCTAGTCTTTTTACGTGTCAGCATCTTGTGTGCCTCACGTGCCAGGTAAGCGCGTGGGACTTGACTAAAGGCTAAGCGCTGCGTGACTGACAGCTAACTAAGCACAGTCGATATATCGATATATCGATTTTATCGATATTGGTTTGATATCGATATCGCCGATAACGACTTATCATGCTTGCCTGTTACCATTGCCATGGCATGTTGGAATTTGGTTACATTCAAAAGTGTACAAACCAGCCTCCAAACTTTGCTCTGGAAATTGTATGAAAAGTGGACGTCTGAATAAGGGTTATGTTGCTATTTGCTTGTAACAAAGCGAGTGTGCATCCAAAGCATAATTAAACTAGCAACAAAGTCTGTATGTGAAAATAGAAAAAAATTCCAAGAATTGTCTGTATAACTCAGCTCTGTGTATTATAATTGATCCGTCAGTCTTTAGTGATCTGTCAATAATAAGTAAAGCCTCTGTGATCCACTCTCATTTTTTTAACGATAATTTTAAATAGTTTTACACTCAGTTTTAATCAGCAATGTCTTATCTTAGCAATCTTTAGAAGTCTGTTAATGATAATGAATAATTCTCCCGTTTTGATTTGTACCTTTTAATTTACAATTTAAAGATGTATTGATTGTATTCTAATTAGTTTTTAAGTAAAATACACATTGTAAATTTGAATGTTTTCAGCCTATGGCCTGCTTTTAATTCAAATAAATAAATAAACCATAATAATAATACATGTAATAATAATAACAATAATAATACATGTAACTCAATTAAGTCCAGTTAAGAAATGGGGGAGTTTATGTACAGCCTGGGCAGACAAGTACATTTGTATTTTCCAGTTTTCGAGCTGAATTTGATGATAGCTGAGTCCTATAAATACTGATTGGCAAATTGGCATGGTTCTGAGAACTCTTGGAGTTTTTAAGAATGAATTCTTGTTTCACTGTAGAAAAAGCGTCTAAAAAAGTTGCTCCCTTAGGCCTATTAGTCACATCCTTGTAGATAGGATAGGAGGCCTGGTTGTATATGGGTGTTTACATAAATGTGGAGGCCAGTGGTATAATGCACATGTATGTTCTCTCCTTTCAAGGGCCATTTCCATGTTAAAATAACCAGCTTGCTAATATTTGTGTTTTTACTTTATTGCCCATATCACTATGTACCCACTGAAATAAAAAAAAATTAAATCACCACAATGCATTTGTATAATTTTGATAAAAAATTAGCCAGAATTATGACATTTTTACTTAGGTAAAATTGCGTGACATTTTTACAGCTTGTCCAATGGTGCACAGTTTTCATTCTGTCAATTGATAAATTTGGTCCTTTTTAATTCTAAATGATTGATGAAAACCCAAAACTTAATATTAAACAAAATGTTCGTGCATCGGCAACTTTGTATCATTTTGACATGCCCGCTAAAAATACCATCACTCTGTAACATTTGGTGTCAGCAAATCCTGTTACAGAGTGAACTTTACCATTGATTATAATATTTGTAGAAACTGTCAACTATTCTAACTTTTAAGTGATTATTGAAGTCTTTTATTAAATAAAGAGACTAAAGAAGACCAAAAGTGAAATTCAAAGAAGTATAAGAAATATACCAATTTTAAATATTGGCAGATCAATTTGGTGTCATCCAAAAAACGTTACAGTGTGATACTTTGCAGCTGCACTCTGAATTTGCTCTGGAAATTGTATGAAAAGTGGACGTCTGAATTATAAGGGTTATTTTGCTATTTGCTTGTAACAAAGCGAGTGTGCATCCAAAGCATAATTAAACTAGCAACAAAGTCTGTATGTGAAAATAGAAAAAAAAATCCAAGAATTGTCTGTATAACTCAGCTCTGTGTATTATACATGTAACTCGGCCATCGAGCCATCGACCATCACTCGGCCATCGAGTGACGACAAATTTTGAAACTCGGCACATGCATAGAGCAACTCTTCCCTAACATACCCAAGAAATTTCATGACTATAGGTCAAAGGGTTTTGGAATTATGGCTAATTAATTATTCATATGTACGAATGGCAATACTGCTCTGTGTACACAACGTTTATGCGAAAATTCAGTTTTCACGGCACGTAGCGCCGGAAAATTTTTCGCTACGCGGCAACCCGTGGTCCGATTTTTATGTTTTTGGTATCAAAAGATGCGCAAAGCTCGAGGCTAAAAAGTCATAACAGCTCGGGTCGAGAAAAAAATTTTTTTAGAGGCTATCACGGAAAATGTTGAGGGGGGAGGGCGCCCCCCCCCCCCCCCGGCCCCTTTAGGGTTAAAATATAAGTAGTGACATATCAAAGGTTATTAATATCACTCAAGCTGAAAATAAAAAAAGAAAACAAAAATCCCCCATTTGCATTATTCTCAATTAGGCCCTCAAAAAACTAGTCATGCGTCAATTTTGATCTATTGCATCACTTCTTAAAAATTTTCCACAGTAGCTACAACAGCGCCTTTTATTGCCGCACCGCCTCAATTTTTTAGCACCAACACAAGGGCACCAAGGCATATGATGAAACACCATATGAGAACTCAAACAAGCAAAACAGGACCACTTTGTCTGCACAATCCAAGCTTGGGAAAAAAATTGCAAAGAATATTTTTTGAAACGCATCACTACATCAATTACAGAACTCTGGTCTGACCAGATAGAGACCCACTATTTTTTTTGGCTGTGCGCAATTCTGTCTCATGTTTGTCACCATTTTCATTTTCTCTATCTCTATCGACTTGTATAATTTTATTAATGGTGACCCCGGCTCAAATTATCAATGATCAAAGAAGTATCAGACAGAAAGAAATATAAACCAACAGACACAATAATCTTCATATTTTGAACAGGTATTATTTTAACAAGTTATATATGCCAATTTAATATTTACAATTAATATATACAAGGATCCAAATAGAACTTATGTTTCCAATCACTGTCTTCTCGGATTGAAGACTTCAGTTTAACTTTTGCACTTATCTAATTCACACAGATTTTCTGTAGTTCAGTTTTCTTATTCTCTTGGCTTAAGGTTAAGCTATCAATCGTACAAATTTTCTGTAAACTAATTTATCTTATCGCTTATCACGTCTTAGATTTACACTCAATTCGATAGATCACACAGATCTTCTACCAGTCAATTCTATTAATTCTCACTTAGTTTTCTTATCACCGTATTGATGGGTGACTCGCAGACGTCTCACAGTTAATTTTCCCAACACTTGGGCTTTCTTGTGAACACTTAGTTCTCTTATTACTTACATATACTTGTAACACTTAATTTTATCATATTTATTTAAATATCACACAGGTTTCTTGTCAGTTAGTTCTTTGAGGAGTTTTTGATCAATATGGATACCGTACAGTTTTTTTTTTTTTTAAGGAGATGTTGTCCGCTCAACTTGACCTTTACGGTGAAAGTAGGACTATTCTGCGCTTTACTTAGACGTGCTGTAGGTAGTTGAGTATGACGGCCAAGAAGTCGATCTCTCAGGCGGTCTCTCAGGCGGTCCCTCAGGCTCAGTGGCGGGTTAGATCATACCAGTATTTACGGCCATCTACAATAATAATATAATAACCAAAAACCTAAAGAGCATTTCGTCCAATAATTCAAACAAAGGCAAGGTTAATACAATAAATTGAAACAACTGCTGTTTCGGCATACATGTAGACCGTTCTTCGTTTTAATTTCACAACCATGGCAATTCATCTAAGGTCTACACGACATTCAGGATGTGGCCTTACGTGATTTACAATTCATTTCATGGATTGTCGACTTTGCACAATGAAATAAAATGAATGTCTAAATAAGTCTATAAATATTTTAAAATAACACTTACGGTTGTGGAGAGTGCAGTTTAATTGATGCCGGGCTGAGTGTTGCGATTTTGGTCAAAATCGGACCGGGGACTGCTGGTCCGAAGATCTTACTTCGGCACTGTAATTTTGCCGATCGAGCTGACAAACTGGATTTTGTGGCTGATTTCCACAAAAATCAGAATCTTGGGTTTTCTATAACCTGCTGCATTCAGGTGTCTTCGGACGGTTGATACCGGTCACATTCACACACACTCAGACTAACACGGACTAATTTTGATGATGCTTTCTGATCTGACGCTACTATCGTTCTTCCCAAGGCTTTCTCCCTCTCTCTCATTCTCTCTCTCATTCTATGTACATTTACATACCAACCAATTAAGGGAATAATAGTACCACCAACCACAATGGTTGATGACAATGCTGGAGAATGCTAGAACATGTCCTATTACATCACATCGCTCCATGCATCGAATGCCAACGCCTTAAATCTCAGTGGTTATACGTTTTTAATGGCGCAGGAACTATAGTCGTTTCTTATTGGAGAAAAACTTTAGGACTCGACTATTTATGTGCGTAGGGTGATCTCATTACCGAGTAATGAGGTGCGCGAAAATAAAAAATATAAGAAAAGAATTTACGTTGTGACAATGTTGGATGAATGCCCCATACATGTATATTATATTGAGAGTCCCAAATTTTCGGACTACATGTAGGTATGAACCAAATAGGCTACTCCTCAATTCCAACTAGGATAACTGAGATTACAACTTGAAATAAAAAGGAATCAAACCAAACAAGCAGTAGGATCTGAAGCAAAGACTTTTCAATTCATTCAAGGATAACTAAGGCTACACCTTGGAACAGAAGAGGAATTGAACCAAGGTCAAACCATACAGGACTCAAACTTGCTACTTACGTTATCATCAATGGTGTCAATCTTAGTCACCACAGCTCCGTCAATGAGTGGAGGTTGATCCATGTCTCAATGGTGTGCTCAATTGATTGCCTGGTCCACTGCTTCGTTACCACCCAAATAACTCCCCAACCAAGAGAACTGGTTAGTTGATTTTTATCACCTGTTTGAGCAAAAATAACAGTAATCATAAGAAAATGAGACATTTTCTGTCTTTGTGCAGTTCTCTCTTGAAGGCATTATGTTAAAAAATTACCAAAATTCAAAAAGGTGTCATTACATTGAGAGAAGTCTGCTTAAGGTTGACAACATCATTTTTTAGAAATAAAAAAATCCTTGATTCTAATTTGATCGAAACAAAACAGGGGCCCTACACTATACACGATTGCCAAAATGATGATACTGATAGATGACATAAATCTGGGACTGCATGCACTGAGAAACATTCCCAATTGTGTTAGGAAAAATAACTCAGCAATTTTGCTTGACTCTCATTCATGTCCATAGACTTTATACACACACACCCACACACACCCACACACACTATCGCAGAAAGGGCATCAGCCATCAGGTTGCAACATTTGTTTCCAGTGAGGCAAACACTGACATTTCATTGTTAACTACTTGCATTGGGAGAGTTGGTTGACTTCCCCCTGCACCACCGTCATGACATTGGCTCAACCAACAACAGAAGATAATCAAGCCCACATGAAGGTTTGCTGGCGATCGTGAATTGTAGACCCCCTGTTTTGTTTTGATCAAATAAGAGTCAAAAATGTTTTTAATTGCGCAAAAATCACCTTTATCAAAAGCAGACGATCGCCGGATTGCTAGACATGCCAGAAGTCAACCATGTCAACACGAGTCATCTAGATCTACATCTAGGCCCTACATGTACGCAGGTACTCAGCAAAGTCCACTTGATGTTAACGCTGAATATAAGTGATTGTCATGACTACGCCTGCGAACAGCCGAGTAATGTTGACAATGATAATGCAAGTGACTCTTTGTAATTATATCACCGCACCCACAGATTGTGTTTTTTTCAGTGGCCGAGAGTGTGCATCACATAGTATTTGCTATTTTCCGTCTACATGTACAGGCTAAAAGGACTATGGCACCTTCCATTTTAATACTGACTACTTTGAGTGGCATAATCAAACTACCGGTAGCCTCCTAGACCTGTTTTATAATGCCACTTGAAGCAGTCAATATGCAAGACTACATTTGTATAAGCATAGCTTGTAAAGTACTCTGATAGTAAAACAGATCTAAGATGGTAGAATCAAGTTAAGGGATAACGGTAAAGTGCTTTCTGTCAATGTATTGTTGATCATTTCATGTTTGCATATTAACCATAATAAATGAACCAGGATAAGTGTATTAAGTATAATCTATTGCAGTACCCTTTAAAATAACTTCCTGTGATATGGCACGTTTGGCTTAACCAGTTCACATCAGACAACGTGTATGTATACACGCAAGGTTTTGCGGTAATCAGAATGGATGATGGATAAACACGCAACAAGCGAGGCCCGAAATGTCTGTCAGTGGCCCGCTTGCAGCGAGCTACCCGTAGATGACAGCCTGAAGCCGTCTGGCATCCAGATTCATGAAAACAATCCCAAGTCTTAGTCTGGTCAATGTCAAAATAGTCCAGCGTGAACTGGTTACAACAATCTGCTGGGTCATATGAAATATTTACCTTTTAGACGTCATAGTTGGAAATGATGGCGTCGAACAGCGTGTTCAAGGCATTCAACAAGTTAACAACCTGGAAAGTTAAGAGCAAGATGTAAAGGGTAATCCTGGTGACACTAATGGTTTGCAATAATCTGAGTAGACAATTTGATCAAATTTGAGTGCATTTTTGATAATAGTATACGTTTTTAACTTAAACCGCCTTTTAGAATATAATTGAAAAGTATTAAGCCCTAGCTGCATGTTTATCTAGGCTGATTATAAAGATTACGTGCACCAACAGTAGATTGTCCCTTTTTGACAACTTTTGAGAGCCCTACATTGTGTAGTTGGAGAGACACATTGCGTGTACCGTACTAGTGCCCGCGCATATGGCGCGAAATACACAAGATTAATTTTATTCTGGATTTGCACAAATCCAGAGCTTCTTCACGTGAGCATCTGGGTCCTAGCTCTATGGTACAATGCATTCAAATGTAAAAATAATATGGGGCGAAATACACAAGATTAATTTTATTCTGGATTTGCACAAATCCAGAGCTTCTTCGCGTGAGCATCAGGTACAATGCATTCAAATGTAAAAATAACTAGTGATTTGCGTTTGTTGAGTTACAAACGCAGGGTGATCGGGTGACATTTTCATATGAACGTGTCCAGTGTACTTGTGAATATCGTAACAGAAAGAGGATCACAAAATTTCACCCTCTGAGAAGTATGATTTGTTTTATTTTTGTAGAAAAAAATCTTTTGGAGTCTGATAAATTTGAGTTTAGAAATTGTAATATGTAGAAATACATGGAATTTCCGGTTTCATAAATTATAAATTAAAATACGCAAACTGAATACTGATTTAGTTAAGAGAAAATACATGTTCATCTATAAGTAAAAAGAATTTGTGAAAATAAAGGAATTGTAATGAATGTTGAAGTGTTTGTATTATTAAACTATTTTTGTGACGTCACATTATTGTTAAAGTGTAATCTACACTTTACTCGGTACATTTTTTACAAATCGACATCAACAATTAATCCCATGAACCGTTTGGAAGAAATTTGGTTCGCTTTTATTTTGATCAGGGTCGATATAATTATGTGCAAAGTTAAAAGTTAATGAAGTACATAAAGTACAAACATAGTGGACACGGATTAAATGACGAATTTAAATTTAAAGAAAAGAAAATTGATCGTTTTTTCACTTCTCTGTACAATAACTTCCAGTCGAATGTTGTCACGATTCTGAAACCTTCCAAATTTCTTCAAAGGTTGTAAACAGAATTAATATCTAGAGGCAATTTTGTAAAATTGTAACGAATGGTTTTTAAATTCAAACATTCCATCTATAGATCTTTTGACGTACCGCTAGAGGTCGCCCTTTCATGTAATTACGTCAACACGCCAATGTTTGTGTTGGACATTCCTCACTAAATATTTGCGTAATTTGATTTTGAGGCTATTCTGTCTGTAATTTAAATTCACCCAACTTTGACCTTCCAGTAGCCCGGAAGTAAAGGCCAAGCGAGTTTACGTACATTTAGGAGAAAACCCACGGAGAATTATTGTCCAGAAAAAAAACCAAAAGAATCATTCTTACCATTTTAAAAAGGTGATCGGGTCGTACCCGATCAAAAAGTCCCCAAAAAGTTTTGTGTGATGAATTCCTGCTTTTGACAGATTTTTCACTTTTTTTTGTTTTAGTTTTATTGTGCTCAGCATAAAAATCGGGCAAGAAAGATATTTTGCTGTTAATCCCTCGACCGTTTTAAAGTACAGTTTGAGCATTTTCTCTTCAAATATGAAAAAGTCTTACTTTGCAGTACTTCGAGTCTGTTCCATCCCTGTGAAGCACCAGCAAGGGAGTGATGTGCTTGGTGCAGTCCTTCTCCTGGGCCGTACAGTGCTTCTCAAGAGAGCTCTGGTCTGAGTCTGTTCCATCCCTGTGAAGCACCAGCAAGGTAGTGATGTACTTGGTGCGGTCCTTCTCCTGGGCTGTATAGTGCTTCTCAAGAGAGCTCTGGTCTGAGTCTGTTCCATCCCTGTGAAGCACCAGCAAGGTAGTGATGTACTTGGTGCGGTCCTTCTCCTGGGCCGTATAGTGCTTCTCAAGGGAGCTCTGGTCTGAGTCTGTACCATCCCTGTGAAGCACCAGCAAGGTAGTGATGTACTTGGTGCAGTCCTTCTCTTGGGCTGTATAGTGCTTCTCAAGGGAGCTCTGGTCTGAGTCTGTACCATCCCTGTGAAGCACCAGCAAGGTAGTGATGTACTTGGTGCAGTCCTTCTCTTGGGCTGTATAGTGCTTCTCAAGGGAGCTCTGGTCTGAGTCTGTACCATCCCTGTGAAGCACCAGCAAGGTAGTGATGTACTTGGTGCGGTCCTTCTCCTGGGCTGTATAGTGCTTCTCAAGAGAGCTCTGGTCTGAGTCCGTACCATCCCTGTGAAGCACCAGTAAGGTAGTGATGTACTTGGTGCGGTCCTTCTCCTGGGCCGTGTAGTGCTTCTCAAGAGAGCTCTGGTCTGAGTCTGTTCTTGCCGTGAGGAGCAGTCCTTCTCCTGGGCCTTATAGTGCCTCTATAGTGCTTCTCAAGAGAGCTCTCTGATGTGAAGAGAGCTGGTAGAACTGCCATCACCTGGTCAAGAAATTTCAATATTATCAATTTGGGAAAAAATGTTTGATATTGCTGTCTGATGCCAGACGACAGCTGAGTTACATTAGAAATTCTGCATTGTCATTGGTCAATTCACAACGGGTAATGCATAATGCATGTCTACCAAATCGGTAGACAAAATGTAAGGAAAAACATAAGCATTCTCCACGAGATGGTAAAGGCCCTCGCGGCTTTGCCACTCGTGCTAGTCTTTTTACGTGTCAGCATCTTGTGTGCCTCACGTGCCAGGTAAGCGCGTGGGACTTGACTAAAGGCTAAGCGCTGCGTGACTGACAGCTAACTAAGCACAGTCGATATATCGATATATCGATTTTATCGATATTGGTTTGATATCGATATCGCCGATAACGACTTATCATGCTTGCCTGTTACCATTGCCATGGCATGTTGGAATTTGGTTACATTCAAACGTGTACAAACCAGCCTCCAAACTTTGCTCTGGAAATTGTATGAAAAGTGGACGTCTGAATAAGGGTTATGTTGCTATTTGCTTGTAACAAAGCGAGTGTGCATCCAAAGCATAATTAAACTAGCAACAAAGTCTGTATGTGAAAATAGAAAAAAAAATCCAAGAATTGTCTGTATAACTCAGCTCTGTGTATTATAATTGATCCGTCAGTCTTTAGTGATCTGTCAATAATAAGTAAAGCCTCTGTGATCCACTCTCATTTTTTTAACGATAATTTTAAATAGTTTTACACTCAGTTTTAATCAGCAATGTCTTATCTTAGCAATCTTTAGAAGTCTGTTAATGATAATGAATAATTCTCCCGTTTTGATTTGTACCTTTTAATTTACAATTTAAAGATGTATTGATTGTATTCTAATTAGTTTTTAAGTAAAATACACATTGTAAATTTGAATGTTTTCAGCCTATGGCCTGCTTTTAATTCAAATAAATAAATAAACCATAATAATAATACATGTAATAATAATAAGGAAAAAAGTAAGACTGCTGCAAACTGCTTACTGACTGGGTGGACCTGAAATATATAAATCTAAAAATTAATGTGGCCTGACGTTGCGAACTTAGCAAGTTCTTCTTCAGAGGCTAAAACAGAAATGACAGAGGTACATACATTAACATGGGGGTGCACACAAACATGCAGGGATGAAAGAAGAAACACAAAAGGAGGATTAGGTGGGAAAGGTGTGGAAAGATGCAGGGGAGGGTGGATGAGAGAACAAAGAAACAAAGGGAGATGGCAAACCACAAGGGGTCTGGTATGAACAGGGGAGGGACCAGAAAGGGAAAGGATCAAAGGTCACAGGGAGTGGGAACGGACAAAAGAGTGTGGGAGTGAAGGGGGATTATGCAGGGGGGGGGGGGGGAACAGTATGGAGGTGGAAAGGGATGAAAGATGGGGAAAGATGGGGAAACACAAACAATGAAGACCAGGTGGATTATCTGTAACAGAAGACAATGGAGGAAGAAAAATATTAATCATTTCCAAGTTGGATGTTGAGACCATGTGGTTGAATAGTTCGAAGACGATTCATCCACACTTTCTCTCTGCTGAGGCGAACTGAGTCCTTGCGATGGCCAAGAGATTCAATGCCCTGCAAAATCATATCAGAAATGGAGTGGTTAGGCAGGTTGAAGTGATGACCAACAGGGGTGTCTAGTTTCTTGGTGTTGACCGTTGACCGGTGGGCATAGAAACGCTTCTTGAGCGTATTCTTAGTCTCACCTACATACTGCACTCCACAGACCCTGCAAGAAATAAGATATATGACATTAGGGGTGTTACAAGTGATGTTACCAATGTAATAATACATAAAAAATAATATTGTAATAATAATAACAATAATAATACATGTAACTCAATTAAGTCCAGTTAAGAAATGGGGGAGTTTATGTACAGCCTGGGCAGACAAGTACATTTGTATTTTCCAGTTTTCGAGCTGAATTTGATGATAGCTGAGTCCTATAAATACTGATTGGCAAATTGGCATGGTTCTGAGAACTCTTGGAGTTTTTAAGAATGAATTCTTGTTTCACTGTAGAAAAAGCGTCTAAAAAAGTTGCTCCCTTAGGCCTATTAGTCGCATCCTTGTAGATAGGATAGGAGGCCTGGTTGTATATGGGTGTTTACATAAATGTGGAGGCCAGTGGTATAATGCACATGTATGTTCTCTCCTTTCAAGGGCCATTTCCATGTTAAAATAACCAGCTTGCTAATATTTGTGTTTTTACTTTATTGCCCATATCACTATGTACCCACTGAAATAAAAAAAAATTAAATCACCACAATGCATTTGTATAATTTTGATAAAAAATTAGCCAGAATTATGACATTTTTACTTAGGTAAAATTGCGTGACATTTTTACAGCTTGTCCAATGGTGCACAGTTTTCATTCTGTCAATTGATAAATTTGGTCCTTTTTAATTCTAAATGATTGATGAAAACCCAAAACTTAATATTAAACAAAATGTTCGTGCATCGGCAACTTTGTATCATTTTGACATGCCCGCTAAAAATACCATCACTCTGTAACATTTGGTGTCAGCAAATCCTGTTACAGAGTGAACTTTACCATTGATTATAATATTTGTAGAAACTGTCAACTATTCTAACTTTTAAGTGATTATTGAAGTCTTTTATTAAATAAAGAGACTAAAGAAGACCAAAAGTGAAATTCAAAGAAGTATAAGAAATATACCAATTTTAAATATTGGCAGATCAATTTGGTGTCATCCAAAAAACGTTACAGTGTGATACTTTGCAGCTGCACTCTGAATTTGCTCTGGAAATTGTATGAAAAGTGGACGTCTGAATTATAAGGGTTATTTTGCTATTTGCTTGTAACAAAGCGAGTGTGCATCCAAAGCATAATTAAACTAGCAACAAAGTCTGTATGTGAAAATAGAAAAAAAAATCCAAGAATTGTCTGTATAACTCAGCTCTGTGTATTATACATGTAACTCGGCCATCGAGCCATCGACCATCACTCGGCCATCGAGTGACGACAAATTTTGAAACTCGGCACATGCATAGAGCAACTCTTCCCTAACATACCCAAGAAATTTCATGACTATAGGTCAAGGGGTTTTGGAATTATGGCTAATTAATTATTCATATGTATGAATGGCAATTCTGCTCTGTGTACACAACGTTTATGCGAAAATTCAGTTTTCACGGCACGTAGCGCCGGAAAATTTTTCGCTACGCGGCAACCCGTGGTCCGATTTTTATGTTTTTGGTATCAAAAGATGCGCAAAGCTCGAGGCTAAAAAGTCATAACAGCTCGGGTCGCGAAAACATTTTTTTTAGAGGCTATCACGGAAAATGTTGAGGGGGGGAGGGCGCCCCCCCCCCCCGGCCCCTTTAGGGTTAAAATATAAGTAGTGACATATCAAAGGTTATTAATATCACTCAAGCTGAAAATAAAAAAAGAAAACAAAAATCCCCCATTTGCATTATTCTCAATTAGGCCCTCAAAAAACTAGTCATGCGTCAATTTTGATCTATTGCATCACTTCTTAAAAATTTTCCACAGTAGCTACAACAGCGCCTTTTATTGCCGCACCGCCTCAATTTTTTAGCACCAACACAAGGGCACCAAGGCATATGATAGGGCACCAAGGCAAATGATGTAACACCATATGAGAACTCAAACAAGCAAAACAGGACCACTTTGTCTGCACAATCCAAGATTGGGAAAAAAATTGCAAAGAATATTTTTTGAAACGCATCACTACATCAATTACAGAACTCTGGTCTGACCAGATAGAGACCCACTATTTTTTTTGGCTGTGCGCAATTCTGTCTCATGTATATTATATTGAGAGTCCCAAATTTTCGGACTACATGTAGGTATGAACCAAATAGGCTACTCCTCAATTCCAACTAGGATAACTGAGATTACAACTTGAAATAAAAAGGAATCAAACCAAACAAGCAGTAGGATCTGAACCAAAGACTTTTCAATTCATTCAAGGATAACTAAGGCTACACCTTGGAACAGAAGAGGAATCGAACCAAGGTCAAACCCATACAGGACTCAAACTTGCTACTTACCTTATCATCAATGGTGTCAATCTTAGTCACCACAGCTCCGTCAATCAGTGGAGGTTGATCCATGTCTCAATGGTGTGCTCGATTGATTGCCTGGTCCACTGCTTCGTTACCACCCAAATAACTCCCCAACCAAGAGAACTGGTTAGTTGATTTTTATCACC